TGTGTGTGTGTGTGTGATCAGCCCCAGCAGGCAACCGTTTGCGCTCTTTGGCACCCACTCATCCAGAGAAAACCTGAATTCGGGCAATTTCAGTTTCCCCTCGGAAGGACACCTGCTCCGCAACACGGGCCTGGCTGGCAGCATCGCCAAACACATGGTAAGCCTAATCCTGCATGAAATTTTAAGCAGCAGCTGGGGTCATTGCGTCTCGTGGCCTGGGGAATTCTGGGAGTTGAAGTTTGCTGTTCTCCAAGCTGCCAAGCTTCAGAAACACAGCCCTGGGAGGAAATGGAGTCGTTCTGGTCATAAACCTGAGCTGTGACAAACAGACAGATTAGATGATAGATGATAGAAATTGGAGAGAGAGATTAGACAGACAGACAGACAGACATAGATTTGATAGATGTTAGAGATTGTAGAGAGATTAGATAGATAGATAGATAGATAGATAGACAGACAGACAGACAGACAGACAGACAGACAGACAGACAGACAGACAGACAGACAGACAGACAGACAAGACGGATGGACAGATAGACAGAGAGAGAGAGAGAGAGAGAGAGAGATAAGACGGATGGACAGACAGATGGACAGAGATTATATATATATAAAGAGAGATATTAGATGATTGAATTAGAAAGAGATGGATGGATGGATGGATGGAGAGAGAGGGATGGACAGACAGACAAACAGATTTGATAGATGTTAGAGATTGGAGAGAGATTAGATAGATAGATAGACAGACAGACAGACAGACAGACAGACATAAGACGGACGGACAGACAGATAGATGATATATATATAAAGAGAGATATTAGATGATTGAATTAGAGAGAGAAAGGGATGGATGGATAGATGGATGGATGGATGGATGGATGGAGAGAGAGAGATGGATGGACAGACAGGCAGGCAGGCAGGCAGGCAGGTGTTGAGGCCCTCATTGACCAGTCCATTTTGTGTTTACCCACAACAGGCCGTGCAGTGTGTCTCCCCCAAGGGCCCTCTGGCATGCTCCAGGACCTATTTCTTCGGCGCCACCCACACTCCTTACCTTGGTAAGTCCAGCCGCCAAACCAGGACTCCTCACCTGCCTGGTTCTTGAGGATCCCCCATAAATAGGCAGCCCTTAAAAATGCCCGTAAGTTCAGGCTACTACGGGGCAAAATGCAGACCAGGGGAGACGATAGCAACTCCCTCTTGGCCTTTTTTAAACCCCCCCCCCCACTTCCAGATCTCTCTAGAAACAGCTAATAAACCTCGACTTGTCGCTCAGCGCTATATATCCCAAGTTCAGCATGCTTAAAGTGCACACAGGAAGTCCTCAACTTACGACTGCAACATAGCCCGACACTTCTGTCACTAAGCGAGACATTGGTTAAGCGCGCTCTTCCCCATTTTACGACCTTTCCTGCCGCAGTTGTTAAGCGAATTCACTGCAGTTGTTAAATTAGTCACACGGTCGTTAAGCGAATCCGGCTTCCCCATTGACTTGGCTCGTCAGAAGGTCGCAAAAGGGGATCACGTGACTCCCCAGGGACGCGGCCACCGTCATAAACGTGAGCCAGACTTCCAAATTCTGATCACGTGACCGCCGGGCCGCTGCGACAGTTATAAACGCTCGGACGTCACTTTTTTCAGTTCCCTTTGTAAATTCGCACGGTCCTTAAATGAGCCGTCGTAAGTCGGGGACTACCTGTGTATATCCTAAGTTTAAAATGCTAAACGTGCATTGGAGAAATTTCAACAATTGTATAAAATAATCTAAAATAACAATGGAGAAATAACTGCGTTTCTCTATTTGTCCTCAAAGGGAATGGCGATGGATTGGAAAAGAAAACGGAAGACGTGTAAGTCTTTAAAAAATGTCCTTTTATGCTCCTGCAGTCCTTTCTAAGCACTTCTTGCCTTAACAGAACAACCCAGAGTGTGTGCCAGTTGTGATTGTGCGCCGTACACAATTGCAGTTTGAAATGCTTTATTTCCATTTTTAAAAAATGTTTTATTGATTTTCTAGTTTTACATTTAAGTATTTAAAAAACAACATGGCGGCCGAGTTAATTGAAAATTTAATGACATACAAGTATCTTTAGTACAAGTCTCAAACTACTACATTATTTCCTTTCTTTTCCCCTTAGTATTTACTAAGGGGAAACAATTAAACTAAAACAATTCCTACTATATCAATTAAATAAAAATAACATTCTTACATTTATCAATAATTTTTAGCTTATACATATCCTGGTTATTTTAACATTCAGTCTTTTATAGACAATCGATGTCCTAATTAGTTTTCCCCAATTTTTAGTTTCCCGTTAATATTTAAATTTAACATTTAATATTTATACTGTCCAAGTTTTAAGTAACCAAAGTTCCCTTTATCACAATTCATCACAAAGCCTAATGTTCAGAACACACATCTTATCTATTTGGATATATTCTATTGAATGCTTTATTTCCAGAGACTTTGATTTCCATCTAAAATCAGAGTTTTCCCAATAAGCTTGTTGATTTGCCTCAGCTTCTTCACTTTTTTTTTAACCAGTGGCATCTAGTTACCAAGATTTACGTTGTGTCTTTTTTAAAAGTCTAATCTTTACCGAAGCATTTTTAACAAGATAAAAGAATTGCAAATATTAGAAAAGAAAGGAAGAAAATAAAGACTGGTAGATGAGAAAGAAAATAGGAATAGAAATAAGGGGAACATGTAGGGAAGGAAAAGAAAAAAAGGAAGGAAGGAAGAGAGGGAGGGAAGGAGAGGAAAAGAAAGGAAAGGAAAAGAAAAAAGGAAGAGAGGGAAAATGAAGGAAAGGGAAGAAAGAAGAGAAGGAGGGAAGGAAAAGAAAGGGAAGGGAAGGCTTCCAGGCTTTGTGACAGCCGTCATAATTACATTTATATTTTATCTTTATTTTATCTCTCTAAAAGTTACATCAGTTTCCTTCTTTCTGCAAACGCCCCTTTCTGATCTTGAAATCCATAAATGGCAACCATTATTTCTTCTTTCTTCGGGGTCTTTTCTTTTTAAAAAAAAAACTATCATTGTAAAGGAACTTGGGATTGTGCGAAGTTAAAAATCTTAAAATAACTTTCGTAATTAATGTTGCATTTCTTTTTTTTTTCTTTTCTTTCTTTCTTTCTTTTTAGCAAACTCTTATCTCAGATCTATTTCGCTGTGGTGGAGGCTGTCCTGGCCGGCATAGAGACTTACTCAAAAACGTCCAGTGTTACCAGGGTGTGTTTTTTTTCTTTTTTTCAAAACGGAAAGCTTGCGATTAGCCTTCGGTCCAGGTAGTCCTCGACTTAACAGCGGTTCATTTAGGGACCGTTCAAAGTCACAACGGCACTGAGGAAAAGACAAAAAGTTTCACACGTGCTATTTCAGCATCCCTGTGGACCTGTGATCAAAAGTCAGACACTCGGCAACTGGCTTGTACTTACGACGGTTGCAGCGTCCCCTGGGGTCACGTGATCCCCTTTTACCATCTTCTGGCGAGCAAAGTTAACGGAGGAAGCCGGATTCGCTTAACAACTGCATGATTTGTGACGACCCGGGGCACAGCACCGAGGCAGTGTAGTCAGCTGGCAATCCAAACCGCCCTTTAATTGCTCGAAATTTCCCCCAAATGCTCCCACGTTTCTGGCAAGCTTCAAAACCAAGGAAGACACACACACACCTTCAGCTGCCTCTGGCTGCAAGTAGTTTCACATACAGTCTGATTAGGCAAGGAATTTACTCAAGGCCACGGAGATAACAAGGAATGACACATACATCCCAAACCTAACGAGTCTGTGGAAATACACGCTTGCCTGAGCAGTTTCAGAAGAGAAGCCAAAATACAATCCGAGGTCTTTGAACATCCAAGCAACGTTGTCAGCCAGTCCATGGCTCAGAGTTTCCGGGTTTCCAAGCAGAAGTCACAGAACAAGAGATCAGCAACAACACACACAAAACTCCAAGGAATCAGCGTTTGTTCCCGACAAATGCCTCTCCTCACAGCGTCTCCTTAAACCTCATTCTCCAGGTGTGCCTTGTGGAGAGGGGCAGGACGCATTCCTCCCGAGTAGTTGAGCCTGCCTGCGTTGTTCCCTCCTTCTCTCCACTCTCCGTGCTCTAGGATCAGGAGGGGTGGCCCTTACTCATCACCTGAACTCTGCCTCTCCTGTTCCTCCTGTCCCGATCCTGAAGGGCCCTGGCCTGCCTCGGCCTGCTCTTCCGCACATTCCTTTGAAGCCACAGGCACCTCTCCCTCGACCTCCGTAGGGTCCCATTCCAGCTCATTTTCCTCCGCAGATTCAGGCTCCGACGGAGGCATGACAATTCCCTTAACAACTGTTGGGAAAAAAGGTGGCAAAATAAGGCGTGAGTCCCTTCACAACTGTCTTTCTTAGCAACAGAAGCCTTGGTCTCAATTTTAGTTGTACGTCAGGGACCACTTCTATTGTGCGACCTGCTTGATTCCCCTGTCTGATGTGCTTATGTGTAAATTTTTTCTCCCCTCATCCTTTCTCTTCTCAGGCGAAAGAAGGAGCTGAAAAAGTGTTTTTCAAGATGCTTGAGACCTTTGGACTTTCGTGCTTTAAAACTCCACTACGGTACGTCTCTCTGTTAGCATTTTTCTACACAACTGAGATTGTATTGAAACCCAGAAGTCCCCACCTTTTTAATTTGGCAGCCCGGAAAGGGAGGCAGGCACTGTTACACATGTATGCACGCACAAATGGGCCACGTGCGAGCACGGGGATGCGCAAACAGGGCCGCACGAGTATGAGTGCCACAAATGGGCGGCGCTAGCACCAGCGGGATGCTTGCTGCAGAGCAGCACCAGTGCTGGCAAGATGCTTGGTGTGGCGCTAGTACCGGAGGGATGCTTGGGGCAGTGCGGCACTAGCACCGGTGGGACGCTTGGGGCAGCACTAGTGCCACTGGAACTCTCAGGTTGGCGCGGTGCTAGTGCCGGAGGGACACGTGGCGCTAACGCTGGCGGGATGTTCAGGGCAGCACTAGTGCTGGTGGGATGCTTGGGGCAGCGCGGCGCTAATGCCAGCAGGATGCTTGAGGTGGCGCTACTGCCGGCGGGATGCTCAGGGCATGGTGGCACTAACGCCAGCGGGATGCTCAAGGTGGCACTAGTGCCGGCGGGGCGCTCAGGCAGTGCGGCGCTAACGCCAGCAGGATGCTCAAGGTGGTGCTAGTGCCGGCGGGACGCTCAGGGTGGGGTGGCGCTAATGCCAGCGGGATGCTTGAGCTGGCGCTAACGCCAGCAGGATGTTTGAGGTGGCGCTACTGCCGGTGGGATGCTCAGGGCGTGGTGGCACTAACGCCAGTGCGATGCTCAAGGTGGTGCTAGTGCCGGCGGGACACTCGGTGGGGTGGCGCTAACGCCAGCGGGATGCTTGAGGTGCCGCTAACACCAGGATATTTGAGGTGACGCTCAGGGCAGGGTGGCGGTAATGCCAACGGGATGCTCAAGGTGGCGCTAGTGCCAGCGGGACGCTCGGGGCTGGGCGGTGCTACCACCGAGGGACGCTCGCAGCGGCACTACACGAATGTCAGGAGTGAGTCACACACACGCGTGCACTGGCCGTGCCTTCATGCAGTCCGATGGCCAAGAGGCCACGGCCCGGTAGTGGGCCACGGCCTGCAGGTTGGGGACCCCTGGTGTAACCGATCGGTTCATGCCGGGCTGATTTTTTTGAAAACACGGAATGACTCTCCTTTAGTTCTCTGCACTACAGATAGTCCTCGACCTACAGCAGTTTGTTTAGTGACCATTCAGTTACAACGCCATTGAAAGGACTTGGGACCGTTTTTCACACTTAACGGCCGATGTGGCATCCCTGAAGTCACGCGATCAAAATTTTGACACTTGGCCACAGGATCATACTTACAAACGTGGCAGTGTCCCTGGGGTCACGAGACCCCCTTTTGCGACCTTCCGGCTGGCAAAATCAAGGGGAAAGCGACAACCATGTTATTAACACCTGCAGCGACTCACTTAACAACCGTGGAAAGAAAGGGGGTAAAATGGGGCAAAATTCGCGGAACGACCTGTCTCGCTTAGCAACGGAAATGTTGGGCTCCACTGTGGTCGTAAATCGAGGACTACCTGTGGTTTGTTCCTCCGATTGGCCTGTAAAACATGGCATTTAGTTTTAACAGGAGAATCCGCTTAACTTCAGCATTTCATTTATCTTTTTTAATTTCTCCCTGTTTTGTACAGCACCAAGATAGATTTCTGGATTCAGGCTGTGAACAAGCAGGGGAGGTGAGTGCTTCCCTTCTCTTCGGTTTGAAGCTGTTTGATGTGAGGGCCTGTGGTCCTCTTTGTTGCCATTATCATGATTAGATTTTTTTTTATCCCGCCATTTTGTATATATCTAAATCTACGTAAAGACTCCTGCCTCCTCTTTCTCCCACAGCAACGATCCTGCGAGGTGGGCTGGGCTGAAAAACAGGGATCGGTCCAGGTAGCTTTCAGGCCTAAGGCGGGACTAGAACCTATTTTTGCCCACAGCCACAGCCCTGTGAGGTGGACTGGGCTGAGAGAGAGAGAGTCACCCAGTCAGCTTTCAGACCTGAGGCAGGACTAGAACTCACAGTCTCCTGGTGATTGGCTCAAAGACAGACAGCCGGCTCTCATGCCTAAGGCGGGACTAGAACTCACTGTCTCCTGGTGATTGGCCCACAGTCAAACAGCCGGCTTTCATGCCTAAAGCAGGACTAGAACTCAAGTCCCCTAGTGATTGGCCCAAAGTCTCCCAGCTGGTTTTTGTGTCTAAGGCGGGACTAGAACTCACCGTCTCCTGGTGATTGGTCCAAAGTCACCCAGCCGGCTTTCATACCTAAGGCAGGACTAGAACTCACCATTTCCTGGTGATTGGCCCAAAGTCTCCCAGCTGGTTTTTGTGTCTAAGGCGGGACTAGAACTCACCATCTCCTGGTGATTGGCCCAAGTCACCCAGCCGGCTTTCATGCCTAAGGCAGGACTAGAACTCACCATCTCCTGGTGATTGGACCAAAGTCTCCCAGCTGGTTTTTGTGCCTAAGGTAGGACTAGAACTCACCGTCTTCTGGTGATTGGTCCAAAGCCACCCAGCTGGCTTTCATGCCTAAGGCGGGACTAGAACTCACCGTCTCCTGGTGATTGGTCCAAAGTCACCCAGCTGACTTTCATGCCTAAGGTGGGACTAGAACTTACCGCCTCCCAGTTTCAAGGCCTGTATCTTAACCACTAGCTGGCTTTCACGGAAGCAGAGAAGACACTGTTTACATTCCGACATAATAACGCTAAACCATGATACAAACTTCAAACTCAAATGGCTTAATGGAAAACGAGGGCATCACAAATAACCTTTTTCGGCATATCTTGGGCCTGTGCCAGCCCTCCTCCCCGAGGGGCATAAAGCAAGCAGCAGTTGAGGCGGGCAGAGATATTTTTTTTTGAGCTGCCAGTCCAGCGTAAGGCAATATTTAGTATTCTCCGCATGAAGATCCAGGTCGCGGAGGGCAAATTATACCGTCTGCTTCGGCTGTTTATGCTGGCTTGTCTGCTTCTGCGGGCAGCATTTTTGACCCCGGAGTCTCTCGTTGGAAAGAGAGCGCCCTGCAAACACACCTGTTGTGCTTAATCACGCACGAGAGAAGAGAGGGAGCCCGGGAAAGGACGGGGTGGGAGGGAGGACACACGCAATCAAGAGATAGAAACTGAGTCCGTCCGAAGCTTTTTCTTGTGGGCTGAAGACCCACAACAGCCCTTTGGGGTAGAGCAGATCCAGAAAGCCACTGTCCTGTCTGCGGGAATAAGAATGACCTTGGCAGACAGAAGGGAGAGCTGGGAGATCAGAATCAGAATGGAGCTGGAAGGGACCTTGGAGGTCGTCTAGTCCAGCCCCCTGCTCAAGCAGGAGACCTTATATCAGATAGAGTCTCCAGAAGTTGCCTCCAGAAGTTGTGAATGCGCCAACGCTGGAAGTTTTTAAGAGGAGACTGGACAACCATTTGTCTGAAATGGTGTAGGCCAGGGTTTCCTGCCTGAGCAGGGGGATTGGACTAGATGACCTCCAAGGTCCCTTCCAACTCTTCTATTCTATTCATTTTATTCTATTCTATTCTATTTCTATTCTATTAATTCTATTTCTGTTCTATTTCTATTTCTATTTTATTTCTATTCTATTAATTCTATTTCTATTCTATTCTATTCTACTCTATTAATTCTTTTCTATTCTATTTCTGTTCTATTAATTCTATTTCTATTCTATTCTATTTCTATTCTATTTCTGTTCTATTAATTCTATTTCTTTTCTTTTCTTTTCTATTCTCTGAAATGGTATAGGGTTTCCTGCCTGAGCAGGGGGTTGGACTAGAAGACCTCCAAGGTCCCTTCCAACTATTCTATTCTATTCTATTCCTTTTTCTATTTCTATTTCTATTCTATTAATTTTATTTCTATTCTATTTCTATTCTATTCTATTAATTCTATTCTATTTCTATTCTATTGTTCTATTGTATTATCATTATTCTATTCTATTAATTTTATTCTATTCTATTCTATTCTATTCTATTCTATTCTATTCTATTCTATTCTATTCTATTCTATTCTATTCTATGAAATGGTGTAGGGTTTCCTGCCTGAGCAGGGGGTTGGACTAGAAGACCTCATTATCATCATCATCATCATCATCATTATTATTATTATAGATGAGGCAACCGTCACGTAAAAAGGGTTAGCGTTCTCATCCCACAGAAAAAAAGAAGAAGTGTGGGAATCATCAGAAAGGACCCTTCCTAATTTTCTGGAAAGTAAGGTAAAGGAGATCCAGTTTGGTGTAGCGGTGAGCTAAAAAATGGGAGACGGTGAATTCTAGTTCGGCCTTAGGCCCGAAAACTGATTGAGTGACTTGAGGCCAGTCACCAGGAGAGGGTGAGTTATAGTTCCACCTTAGGCGTACAAGTCATCTGGGTGCCTTTGGCCAGTCGCCAGGAGACGGCGAGTTCTAGTTCTGTTCTACTTTCCAATTCTAAAAGTGTTTTTTTTTTCTTTATTTCTGCCCAACTTACGCTACTGGGATTGAATGTGGGAGACGTGCCACGTGATCTGCCTCGCCCTGCAACGGACGCGTCCTAAAATCTTATTTTCCTCCCCTGCAGAATTATTCCCGTGGATAACAAAGACAGCCTGTACTTGGTTAAAACTGTGAGTATTTTTTTTCTGCCGGCTGCAGAATTACTTGCGTTTGAAACACGCCGAGGGGCGTTTTTCATTGCAATCTTGGACCGCGGGAGAAACCGGTGGCACTTAAACAGCCGTGTGACTAATTTAATCGCCGCAGCGATTCACTTCAACAGCTCCGGCAGGGAAAGGTCACAAAACGGGGCAAAACGACCACCGTCTCGCTTAGCAACGGAAACTTTGGCTTCCACTGTGGCTGCAAGTCAAGGACCGCCAGTCCCTTTTCTCAGTGCCGTTGCAACTTTGAACGGTCACTTAAAGCAGTGGTTCTCAACCTGTGGGTCGGGACCCCATTTGGGGTCGATCGACCATTTCACGGGGGTCGCCAAGCAAGGCTGTCCGCCATTTTTTTTGTCCGCCATTTTTTCCCCTTTTCTGGCGGGTGCCTTACCTCCCTTGGGCTGGGCCAGCTGGTGGTCGGCCTGCTCCGTCTCTGCCGCTTGCCAGCTACGCCTTGGCTGGCGCAGGGGGCGGAACCACGCATGCGCAGCGCTCCCGGGCAGGGAAAGTCCTCGACTTACGACCGGTTGGGTAGTCCTCGACTTACGACCGGTTTAGTCCTCGACTTACGACCGGTTTAGTCCTCGACGTACGACCGGTTTAGTCCTCGACTTACGACCGGTTGGGGTCGCGGCATTAAAAAGGTTGAGAACCACTGACTTAAAGGAACTGTTGTAAGTCGGGAGCTGCAGTTCGCTTAGTGACTGCTTCAAGTTACGACGGCACTGAAAAACATGTCTTGGAACCGTTTGTCACACTTGAATCTCCCTTGCGGCATTAAAATCCAGGCCCTTGGCAACGGACTCGTATTTATGACGGTCGCCGTGTCCCCTTTTGCGACCTTTTAAATAAGCAAAGTCAGTGGGGGAGCCGGCTCCTCTTAACAACCTTGTTACTAACTTAACAACCGCAGGGTGTCGCTTCGCAATTGCGGCAGGGAAGGTGATCAAGTGGGGCAAAGTTCACTCCGCGACCGTCTCGCTGAGCCCCGGAGAGTTCGGGCTCCCTTGCGGTCGTACGTCGAGGACTGCCTCTAACGCGCTTTCCTCCCGCTTGGCTGCAGGTGTCCATGGCCGCGTACGACATCCCCGACCTTCTGGCCGGGAGAGGCTGCCTGGGCTCGGTGGTCTTCTCGGAGTCCTTCCTGACGTCGCAGATTCTCGTGAAGGAAAAAGGTTCGGTGGGGAGAAACGGACCTCGTTTAACTTTCAGGACGGCTCTCAAAGAGGGTCGAAGGGGGTGGTGTGAAATGGGGGGGGTCCTTGGTGCTCTCTGGGCTGGGTTGCTTGCTTGCACTGGCGCTGTTGATGTTAGCTAGTTGGGCCATGAAACGTCTGCAAGGAAAGCACCCAGCTCAGAGAGAACCAAGGATGCCACAGTCCCTTTTTTCCTCCTCCTCCTCCTCCTCCTCCTCCTCC